AGAAGGAATGGCTGCTTTTGACTAGAAGAAATAAATAGACAACTACTTAATTAATTAGAACACTGAATAATATATTTCTGCTAAGAAGAACTAAAGGATCTTTAAGCCATTTGATAAATCCCTCCGTAATACAAACTGTGACTCCTAAACCCAGACATGCATCAATAAAAGAAGTTCCCTGCTTCCAATGAGTTTCGCTCATTGCCGTGTGACGATGAAAGCCCAATATCACCCATTGTTAACGCTTAATGGCAGCAAATGTTTCTTTCAACACTTATATCGTTATTGGAGTCATTAAAATAACAACGAATACAGCATACGTGCGAGACAAAACAGTGCAAAAGCAATAACCTTAAGAACAGCGAGTTAAACTAATTGGTTTTAAATACAGTTTAATATTACAAACGACCATCAACTACGGTCGATTTTGACCTTTGTCGGCAGCACTCTCCCAAAATATTTAGCGCAAATGAAGGCTTTCTTCATCTACTTTCTTTCAATCTGCTCTTGATTTGAATAATTTCTTATCGCAGCTTTATAAATCACAGCATAGTTTGCTAATTCACATCACGCGACAACCCATTTTTTCGATGACGATGAGACTGAATGTGTATTTTCCTCGCGGCTATTGTAGCACTTATGTGATAACCTTTCGGTAGAGGCTCTTCATATTGCTGTTCCACTTTGATCTAATTAAAGAAGGTGAGTGAGTGATCAAAATTAGAGTAAATCGGATGAGCATTCTTCTTAAGTGTGTTAATGCAATCAATGGCCGCTTGTTCATGCATCCACCTAAGTTAGTGCTTCAGCTGCATCGAGCATGCTAGTATTGTTACTATTCCTCATCAACGTTCATTTAGCTGCCCTAATCACTTGCCAATCGGCGATGAACCCACAAGCACGTGGTGGAACTATTGGGCCAACATGACTTGTGAATGCTATGTGTGTTAGTCAGTTGGAGGCAAAAATGACGTGTTTACGAGGTTACCTGTCTTTACCTCACCGGCATCAGGGTTTACAAGTCCCATTTTACTATACAGTGTCATTTACCAAAAAAAAACAATATCATTCCAAGCAAATTATCACATTTCGTAAATGTTGGATATACCAGAGAACCTGGACTGATTATTCTTAGTCAAACTCTCGAAATTCAAGTACCCACAAATTACATTTGTGTAGAAAGTTTCAGTAGTAAAACTTGCTAGATGACTGTCTGGGTTGTGGGGTTTTGTATTTGTACTCTTTTTAATGGATTTCTTTCTCCGTCAGGCGGATTTAGATCAAAAACGTGAAAGGAAAGGATAACTTATTACATCTTACCGGCAAATAAGCCTAATGAAATTAAAAAATCCCAACAGCAGTTGCGGAGGCTTAAGTGGGTAAGGATGTAGAGGCAGAGATGTTCTATTGTTTAGGGTGGAGTAAATTCAAAGGCCTTGTAAAACCTTAAATGTGCAATCTCCACTTTCAACTAATGTCAAACATTTGAAAATTTAGAAAAAAATTTTGAATGTGAATTTCGTGTAAAAGGAATAATTAAGGTTCCAAATAGGGTAGACATTGACACTCGATATCATTTAACCACGCAAATTTGCACTGCACGCCAATGCCATTTCTCTCACTGGCGTTCAATCGCACGCTCTCATTACATGGTTGAAGGTAACAGTAAACGTATTTGTTTTCAAATGTCTGTTGAGAAAAAGGTGAGTGCGGGCCTATTCTTCTTGCCGCGCGACTCTATTACATGCGATGATTTGTAACAAATTCAAGTTTTAATAGAAATGATGAATGTGAGGCTCTAGCACTTTGGCAATCCTGCATTTCAGTAGAAAATTTTGAGCATCAAGTATCGGCATTTAGGCAGGGCTGATACAGTAATTAGCCAGGTAAATGAAAAACTCACTTCACACATCATCGAGGCGGTTTATATTAGCATCATCGGCGAGGCAATCTGGTGCTTAACACAAGGTCGCGGTGTTAGCAGCTAAACGCAGACGACATCATATGCCTATAACATACATATTGCATGCACTATATTACATGCATTCACATTTAGCTTCTTGTGTTTACAGATTTGTAGCTCTCTCAGCGTCCGCCTGCCTTGCAAAAAACTTTCAGACTCTTCTTCTCGGAGGTAGGCCGTGCCGAAATGCGTAGGCCATGTTCATGTGTTGACTGGTTTTAGTCTTGAACGAGAAAGAAATAAATTAGGCGGCTAAAGATGCAATTTTCTTGGGCTAATTAAGCCTGCATTACTGAAATAGTAGAAATTTAAGGAAGTACATGATGGAATCTGTGAGTGAGTAAATCCATCTCGTTTTGACTGTTGCTTCTAAAATAGGCCCAATCAGTTATTTTACTTTTTCTCTCCTCAAATTTCTTTGCTTAACATGTCTTAAGGGC